AAGCCGTGCAGCGTGGCCCAAAAAAAAGGCTAAAATGGCAAATTTTATGTTATATATATCTTACCATAATAAAAAAATTCTATAAATACACTTGGAGGATTTAAGAGAAAAAAGAGGTTAAAATATTTCATTACTTATTTTATACTGATTACATACTGAAATAATATTTTCCACATGAGGTTAAATAACTAAATTTTTTTTTAACTAAATTAAAAAAATAAAGAACTGGGAAAGTTTTCAAAACGACCGATGCAGTTGCACAGAGCCCTGTGCTCAGACAGGCCAGTGCTGGGGTGTAATCCCTGTTGTCAGCATTTTGAAAGTGTTAATAATTTCATCTTTGAATTTATTTTATAAAGTGAAGTCTGATAGGACCGTGGAGCATGTGTCAGGGGCCTTAAGCGTCAGCTCACGCGTGGTCCTACCTCCACTGTCCTGGGACAGATTCTGTCCCTGCCCTCCACAACCCTCCAAACTCCCCTCACCCTGCAACCACTCCTAGACTCTTGTCCACCACCTGGGGCAATAACCAAGTTGTCAAGAGGTCCATATTCCCCAGTCGCCCTGGTGGGAGCCAGGCAGACCCGGGGAGAGGAGGAGGAAGGTGGTAACCAGCCCAACCCTGGACTGGCAGCACCAAGGTGTTTGGTAGATAACTTGGGGCCTTGAGCCCACCCTGGATCCAGGCAACAGAAGCATCCTGGCACAGAAGTTGCAATCTCTTGGGAGTCACCCATCTGCTGTGGGTTGGGACAGTGCGCCTATGGGGCCTGTCCATGGCCCTGCATTTTCGTTTTGCACAGTGTCCTCCAAATTATGTAGGTAGCCTTTAATTTAACTGATCAAATGTTAACTTTTTTTTGAGTATCTTGATCTAATTTATTTTATTTTATTTTATTTTGCGGTACGCGGGCCTCTCACTGCTGTGGCCTCTCCCGTTGCGGAGCACAGGCTCCAGACGTGCAGGCTCAGCGGCCACGGCTTACGGGCCCAGCCGCTCTGCGGCATGTGGGATCCTTCCGGACCGGGGCACGAACCCGCGTCCCCTGCATCAGCAGGCGGACTCTCAACCACTGCGCCACCAGGGAAGCCCTATTTTATTTTTTAAATTTTTATTTTATTTATTTTTGGCTGCATTGGGTCTTCATTGCTGCGCGTGGGCTTTCTCTAGTTGCAGTGAGCAGGGGCTACTCTTCGTTGTGGTGGGCAGGCTTCTCATTGCGGTGGCTTCTCTTGTTGTGGAGCATGGGATCTAGGCGTGCGGGCTTGTGGCATGAGGGCTCAGTTAGTTGTGGTTCACGGGCTCTAGAGCACAGGCTCAGGAGTTGTGGCACATAAGTTAAGTTGCTCTGCGGCATGTGGGATCTTCCTGGACCAGGGCTCGAACCCATGTCCCCTGCTTTGGCAGGCGGATTCTTAACCACTGGGCCACCAGGGAAGCCCCAAATGTTAACTTTTTAAAAAACTCCTCAAGATACTCTAAGGAGTAGCAGGGTTTAGATCTATTTTTAGAAAAGGAGATAAGGTTCTTGGAAGAGCCTATTTCCCCTAAGATTCACTTTTCTCAGCCAGGCTTTTGACAAGAACTGTACAGCCTACGATTTGAGGGCCTAACTCTTAGGATAAGTGGAGTCATATATACCTTGGAAATCAGAGAAGGCAGAGTGATTTCTCACTATGAAATCTGAAATGCTGGCTAAGGAAACGGAAAGGACCACATGGACAGGTGTCCCCAGGGCTGACTCTCTGTAAGCACCCACAGACTTCAGATAAATTCCCTCTTGCTTAACTTAACTTGGTCAGTACTGGTTTTCGTTGCTTGAGACCAAGAGACTCTAAATAATACAATGGATTAAGAATAAATGCATTTGACGTGGAAAGAAGTTCTTCATAGGAGATTCAGAGAAAAGTAAGAACAAAGCTACTAGTATAGTATTTTATAGTTAGATCATGTCCTGTTTCTAAAAATCTGGAAAGATATAACAGTGTTTACCATGGAGATTCTGGGGTAATGGTTTACAATTGAGTCATTTTTTTCCTCTAAGTTTGTGTATATTTTCTAATTTTTCTATAATGAACTTCTACATTGCTTGAATTTTCAAAAATTTTGCAAAACATAGGCCCAACTACAAATTAATAAAACAAAAATTTTCCCCCAAAAGAAATAGTAAAATTTAACCTAATAGTTAATTAACAATTCTGGTATGCCATTCAAATCTCTTACTTTTCTCTTGTGAAGTATGTACGTTTCTGTGTCACTATAGTCTTGGAAAGAAAAAGTAAACAGTCCTGAACAAATTCAGATGAGTAAACAATTCTTAGGCTGACTGAGGAAGCAAGTTAGTGAGGAATGTCCAGTTTTACGCCATGTCAAAAACAAAGGACTCCAGGATGAAAAATTTGAGTTGTTTCTGGCATTTTACCTAAAAATAAAACTAATTCTGTAAAAATTCCATTTAAAAAGTAAATTCACATTAAAGGAGACTAAAGAGAGATGACAACCAAAGGCAATACCTGACCCTAAATTGGGTCCACCACTGACAGGGGGAAAAAATGCTATAAATGATTAGACAAAAATGTCATATCCATGTTAAATTTACCTAAGTTCATAACCATCCTGTGGCAATATAAGAGACTAATCTTATTCTTAGAAAACACACACTTTAAGTATTTAGGTAATAAGGGTCATGAGATAAGCAACCTACTTAAGTGGCTCAGGGAAAAATACTACACACACACAGCACAGGCAAGAGTGTGCAAATATTAAAGCAAATGGGAGAAAATGTTAACAACTGGTGAGTCTGGGTAAAGGGTAATGAGTGTTCCCTGTACTATTTTTATTCTTGTAACTATTCTGTAAGTTTGAATTATTATTTCCAAATAGAACAGTTTTTTAAAAAACTGAATTTACTTAGCCTAGTGTGATGGGGATTAATCAACTGGGTTGTGATTCTAAATTCCATGTTCCTGAAATATTCTTTCTAATTCCACTGGAGAATCCTACCCTATCTTTAAAAACATGGGGACTTCCCTGGCGGTCCAGTGGTTAAGACTCTGTGCTTCTATCGCAGGGGGCACAGGTTCTATCCCTGGCTGGGGAACTAATATCCCTCATGCCATGCGGCACGGCCAAAAATAAATAAATAAATACACAAATAAAAACAAACAAAAAACAGTTCAAATCTCATCTCCTCCATAAAGGCTGTTCTAGCCTCCTCAGCTAGAAGTGATCTGTCTGTTTCTCACTATGACTGTTTCAAGTTTGTCTCAGCTCCTGCTAGACTGTCAACCCCTTTCAAGGGTAAGTATCCTGACTAATTCTCTACATTCCTTGGAACGAGGACACCGAGGCCCAAAGAGTCACGGATGTGCCCAAGGCCACACCGCTAGCTGCTAGCCAGGACTAAAGTGAAAGCCACGCCTTCATCCCCCAAATATTCCAGAGAGTTTCAGTCTGTTACTGAAGGCACTGCTATACCTTCAGGGCACATTTTTTGAGCATCTACTGCGTGCCAGGCACCATTCCAAAAATTTTCTCATACATTATCATTTGAAATTTCCTCAGTCTATATATATTGTGCTCTTAGCTTGTTATTTTTATATTCTCTGCAAATATTACTTAAACTCACATACTTATCTATTATTAATGGACTGTGTGTCCACTATCTACCTTCTCAAACCTGTCTCCAAAAGATTATCCTGCTTTCTTCCTCATGCATAAAATATGACTTACAGACAGAGCTGCAGGAACAATGACCGTGCTCTCACTTTAAGACTGTTCTTGAACAACAGTGTCTAAGAGCTTCCAATTCAGTATCTCCTCCAACCTTTTATTTCCAAATAAACTTTCAGGCACAGTCTGTTATTGAAAGTACTTCTCTACTTGGGTTTTACTTTCATTCATTCACTCGAAAAATATTTGTTAAAAAAAATATATATGTTAAGCATGTACAGGTAATAGAGTGGATAACAAAACAATGTGGTCCATGCCTTCTTACATTCAAGTGAGGGATACAGATAAACAAATAACATCAGGTATTGCAGGAGCTCTGAAGAAAGAACAGGTAAGATAACAAAGTGAAAAGGGCAGCATTTTAGGGGGAAGATCTCTCTGGGGTGGTAATGTTTGAAGATAACTATTTGAGGTCTACCTTTGAGAAATTTTACTTTAGAGCAAAAATCAATTCTGACCATTAATGAGAATCCTGGTTACGTATTGGTCTTTCAGCATCAGAACACCTGAACACCTTTTTATAAATAAAAGTCAATCTGGTTCAAAGTCTGAGATTTGAAAATTAAGAAACTGAACTCTTCCCAGGCCAATAACACCTTGAATCGAATTCTTCACAAGTCTGAAAAATTCAAAGCAGACACGATCCCTATTTCAATAGCTATGAATTAAACATGCATAGAATTATAAGTGGCTATAAAGCTACAAAGCAAGCTTTATTTAACAATTTTTATTTCTTTATGCCGGCCATATATTCTCCAGTTATAAGAAAAGATAAAATTATATGAGAACATAATTTATCAATAAAGTGTGTGACTGTGACCTGAATTTTTAAACTTTTGTAAGACTGAATGTATTAAATTCACAAATCAGAAAAAAACAAAAGAAAACAAACAACCCTATCATACAAGTATGCATCCCCATTTGACAATCACTCTAACAAAATTGAGTTAGTTTTCTTCTGATAAAATAATTTATGTAATTCAAGACACTCGCCTCAAAGATCAAAAACAAAAATATGTTGCAACTAATGACTATAAACAGTCCCTCCTAAAAGTAACGTTAAAAACTGGAAGAACCTAAAGTAGCCCACTTTAAGTCAAAGACATGAATAAAAACGAATGCTATTCCCACGCCTCATTTCAAGAGTCGGCAATTTCCATCTTGAGGCATCTTACCCATTCTCCAAAACCTCCCAGTTCAAATCTCACCACCCCCAGTATCTCCAATATTACTGTCTTCTCTTAATCTGTTACTTATGTCTTCTTACCTTCAGCAACTCCTTGCAGCTGTCAAGCCCAATATCCATAAGAATGCTTTTCACCTTTTTCCGTACCTTCCTGATGTTGTCAAGATTCTCCACGGGAATTTGAAACATTTTTGAAATTTTCCTTAAAAGGGAAGAAAACAAAACTGTAATAAGTACATATACACATACACACATAAAATTTTTTAAAACAGGGCTGGTAAAGCAGAGTAATTTTTACTCTGGGACAATCAGATTTCCACATACAAAAGAATGAAGTTGGACTCTTCCCTTATACCATATACAAAAATTAAGTCAAAATGGATCATACATGCACATGGTGAAATTTTAAAACTCTCGGAAGAAAACATAGGCATAAATCTTCATGACCTTGGATTTGGCAATGGATTCTTAGATATGACACCAAAAAGCACTAGCAACAAGAGAAAAAATAGATAAGTTGGACTTCATCAAAATTAAAGACCTACCTGCTTTGAAGGAAACCATCAAAAAAGCAAAGAGAATCCACAAAATGGGAGAAAATATTTGTAAATCTTATTTCTGATAAGAAACTTATATCCAGAATACATAACAATAATTAAAAGGCAAATAAAAAACCCAACTTAAAAATAGGCTAAGGGGACTTCCCTGGTGGCGCAGTGGTTAACAATCTGCCTGCCAATGCAGGGGACATGGGTTCAATCCCTGGTCTGGGAAGATCCCATAAGCCGTGGAGCAACTAAGCCCGTGGGCCACAACTACTGAGCCCATGAGCCACAACTAAAGAGAAGCCCTGGTGCCTCAACGAAAGCTCCCACATGCCTCAACAAAGATCCTGTGTGAGGGAACATTATGCTATGTGAAAGGAGCCAGACACCAAGGACCACATATTATATGATCCAATGTATATGAAGTATCCAGAACAGACAAATCTATAGAGACAGAAAGGAGAATACTGGTTGCTTAAGGCTGAGGTGGACTGGAAGGTGATGGCTAAGGGGAACAGGGTTTCCTTTTGGAATAATGACAATGTTCTAAAATCGACTGTGGTGATGTATGCACAACTCTGTGAACCTACTAAAAGCCACTTAGTAAGTACACTTTAAATAGGTGAACTGGGGACTTCCCTGGTGGTCCAGTGGTTAAGACTCCACGCTCCCAATGCCGGGAGCCTGGGTTCGACCCCTGGTCAGGGAACTAGATCCTGCATGCCGCAACTAAAGATCCCGTGTGCCCCAGTGAAGATCCCACGTGCCGCGACTAAGACCCGGCAGAGCCAAATAAATAAATATTTTTTTTAAAAAAAGGTGAAGTGTATGGTATGTAAATTACATCTCCATAAAGCTGTTTTTAAAATACCTGAAAAAGCATAAAATTAAAATAAATCCTGTGGTACTTGACCATGATAAGAGGTATAGCTGTGACCTCATTATTTTTAACACATACATAGATTAAAAATAAATACATTTGTTAATGTGTCTGTGTATATTGTATAGCTCTGTCCACTGCGAGAGCCTGGAAGCAGTTACACACCCCAGTAGCAGTGAGCACTCCTTGGGCCCAAATCTTACTTTTCTTTTCTTTTTTAATTTTATTTATTTATTTACTTATTTTTGGCTGCGTGGGGTCTTTGTTGCTGCGCCCAGGCTTTCTCTAGTTGCGGACAGAAGAGGCTAGTCTTCATTGCAGTATGGGGGCTTCTCATTGCGGCGACTTCTCTTGTTGCAGGGCATGGGCTCAGTAGTTGTGGCAAACGGGCTCAGCTGTTGTGGCTCACAGGCTCTAGAGCGCAGGCTCAGTAGTTGCGGCTCATGGGCTTAGTTGCTCCACAGCATGTGGGATCTTCCCAGACCAGGGCTCGAACCCGTGTCCCCTGCATTAGCAGGCAGATTCTTAACCACTGTGCCACCTGGGAAGTCCCTCAAATCTTACTTTCTAAATACCACTTTCCATTAAAAGGAAACAGGGCTCCTTGGAAAAAACGGCTGATTCTAGGGCTGGAGCACATAAAAGACAAGATGAGCCTAGAATGTCTTATGCCAGAAAATAACGAAGTTGCTCAAAGAATGGTGAGACATGTCAAAAGGACTCAAAAGAAGTCAAGCGCTTGAAGAAGTTCCCACAAGCCAAATGTGGGACAATGTGGGTACCAAATAAGTAATGACAATAACAGATTAATCTGTGGCACTGAATTTTCCAAAGATAGCGTAACAGGATCTCCCATCCCACATGCTTTCCTTAAAATATGTCCTTGACACTCCTCCCAAAAAGTAGGGGCATCTATGCTCCCACCCTTAGAACCTGCGCAGAACTTTCTGGCAACCTCAACCAATAAAGTGTGGCAGAAGTAATACCATGTGAATTCCAAAGGTAGACCATAAAAATGCCACATGCTTTTGCCTGCCCTCTGGGTACCATTACTCTTGGAATCTAGACTCCTTATTGTAAGAAGTTCAACTAGCCCACATGGAGAGGCTCCACATCAACTAGCAGACACAAGAGTGAAGATGCTCTAGAGCCTGCAGCTGTCCAGTCACCCTGAGCCTTTGAGTCTTTCCAGATGAGGCCCCAGACATTGTGGAATATAAACAAGCCAGCTTCCCTGCTCCCACCTGAACTCCTGACCCAAAGAATTACTGAGTTTTTTTAATAAAATGTTTCATTCTACAAAGTTTTGGGGTGGTTTGGTATTCAGAAATAGTAACCAAAATATAACCCACTAGAATGTAAACTTAAGTCCATGGTAACATAAACAATTTAATAAATTGAAAGTTTAGTGAGGAATGGGATATTTTACATGGTTTCCAAGCATCTCCCCACAAAATACTTGTTAATAACCAAAGGGGAAAGTGTAATTCACAGAAGTCTGGCAGACATTCAGTTAAGAGACACTGTACAAAATATCTAACCTGCAATCTTCAAAAGTGTCCAGATGATACAAGGGCACACTATTCATAATAGCCAAAATGTGGAAACAACCCAAGTGTCCACCAAATGTTGACTGGATGAACAAAATATGGCATACCCATACCACAAAATAGTATCTGGCAATAAAAGTAACTAGGTACTGATGCACGCTACAACATGAATGAATCTCGAAAACATGACGCTAAGTGAAAGAAGCCAGACGCAAAAGTCCTCATACTGTCTGATTCCATTTACATGAGATGTTCAGAAAAGACAAATCTACAGAGATAGAAGGTAGATTAGCAGTCAGCTGCGGGTGGGAACGGGTAGTAACTGCACATGGATAGGTTTTTGGGGAGAGTGCTGGAAATGTTCTAATATTAGATTGCGCTGTTGGTTGCACAACTCTATAAATTTACTAAAAATCAACTAATTATACACTTAGAAAAAGATCATGGAAGGAAAAACTAAGAACTGTTCCAGACTGAGAGAGACTAAAGATAACTAAATTCAATGCGCAATTCTAACTAGATTCTTTACTATAAATGATGTTATTGGAACAGCTGGCAAAACTTCAATGGAGTCTGAGGATTAGATGGTAATAAATTGATCTCCTGATTTTGATGGTTGTGTTCTGGATATATATGAGAATGTTCTTATTGTAGGAAACAGACAATATTGGGGGTAATGTGGCATCATTTTTGTCAACTTAGTTTCAAATGATTCAGGGGAAGAAGTTCTTTGTACTGTACTTGCAACTTTCTATAAATCCGAAACTATTTCAAAAAGAGTTTTAATGTGCAAGCTATAAAACAAAATCAGTTAAACTCGAGTTAAAGAAATGCCAGGTAAAAAAATGAATGCCAATTTTTTATTATCAAAACAGTAACTTAAAGATTGATAATAACCACTGGTAGTGAGGATAAGTAGAAAAACTGTACTTTCTGCATGTTTACAGGACAACTGGCAGTACCTCCCAAGATCTTAAATAATTTCTGTAAGCCCGCAATTCCGCTTCTATACCCTCTTATAACCCCTCCTCCCTCAAGGATAAGCTTGGTGCCCCTCTGAGGAATTCCCAGAGTGGCCAGTTTATACTTATTTCATTGCACTCACCTCACTACGTTGTAATTATCTACTTCTACACCTATTTTCCCTATTGGACTGAACTTCTTCAGGGCAGGAATCATGTTTTCTTTGCACATCTGGGCCTATCACTGAGGTTCAAAATGGAAAGGCTATGGAGGGTTGGTGACTTGGAGTCCAAGACATTCCAAGGGAATAGATCAGCATCAGAAAATGACTGAGGTAAGGTAGTAAAAGTCTGAATATACTGGGCAAAAGGTAAGTAAAACCAAAAAGGTGGACTGGAATAAAACGAGAGATGAGCAGGGCAGGGAGGGTTAACAGTGGGAGGAACTTGTCGTGGGTAATAAAGAAACATGAAGTGTTTGAGAAGCTGATTTGGAACAGACACGCTTTTCAGACAAGTTATCTATGTGAAAAGTATATCTCAGGCTCAGTAGAAAGTGAGCTTGAAGGATCATTTAGCATTTTAGAACTGGGAGATATAAAAATCATAGGAAGTAAAGTTAAAAATAATAAAATTAGGGCTTCCCTGGTGGCGCAGTGGTTGAGAGTCCGCCTGCTGATGCAGGGGACACGGGTTCGTGCCCCGGTGCAGGAGGATCCCACATGCCGCAGAGCGGCTGGGCCCGTGAGCCATGGCTGCTGAGCTTGCGTGTCCGGAGCCTGTGCTCTGCAACGGGAGAGGCCACAGCAGTGAGAGGCCCGCGTACAGCAAAAAAAAAAAAAAAACTAATAATAAAATTATTAACAATAAAATTCACTGAATTGGGTTCTAGCCTTCAAAAGCATAATTTAACAGAGGAGCTGTCAAGAACCTCGTGGTGGCATTCCTAAATATTAAGCACAAGGTCACTTTCAAGCCCAGACTGGCTTCCTTGGCCAGAGCATGCCTCAACAAAAATCCTTCTTTATGCTTTCCACTCACTTTATCAGACTTGCCGTTATTTCCTCCTTAAAGTCCCACTATCCTCTCTATCCTTTGGGGTTCTTCTTTCCCCAAAGCTGGTAAATAGAATTGTCCAAGGTTAAGACCACCATCCACATATATCCAAAACAAAAAAGCTGAATTTTTTGCTTGCAAAGAAATCTGGCCTTACAAAGCAAGTGCTGATCTTATCACAGTTTTGAGAAGCAAGGAGTACAGGGATTGGTACACTCTCAGAAGCAGTTTAGGGATTGGCCAATTTTCACAGGATGGTTCCCAAGGCTGCTACCGACAGGCCGACCCTCAGGAGGAAGGCACTGAAAAGAGGCTTCCAGTGACTGGGCAAGTTTTAAAGGGCTCGGCAGTTACTTGTTCAAGGCTTGGGAGGAGGGCCAAGGAAGTTTGTCTTCTTCAATTTGGAG